CTCAATAAGTAAGAATTTTTTTGATACAACATCCTACTATGTTCATAAAAAATTTAAAAGCTAAGAAAAAAAGTTAGTCAAAATTGTGTAGAAAACGTAATTGTAACCTAATTTATTATTATTTTTTTAATTTTGACTTGACTAACAAGATTATGCTTCGTCTTCGAAAGTGTTATCAACAATTTATGTAAAGAAAGCACTTATGCAAAACCGCTAGATTGAGTTATTTAGGAATTCCAAAATTTAACGACTTTTCCAGAATACTCATAATTTGGTTTGTGAACGTATTTTGCTGAACTTTGTTATATGATGTAAATTAAAATAAGACATTGACAAAACATCATGAAAATCACTCAACTATACACTGACCGTGTTTATTTAACGCCCAGACAGGTGAAAAAGTTAACTTTAAATAACCCAGACGTTAAATCAGTCTTCATAAATTGTCTTAATTAAGGAATTTCTGATTGCACCAAGCAAGATTTTGAGGAGCCTAAACATTTTCAATCAGTTGTTAGTTTGACATGACACTGTTAGGTGCATTTCTGTATTGCGTTCGGCAGCGACAAGTGGTTGCAATACACGCGGACCGTCACCTGCATCATTAACTTCTGCAATAACTTAACCACTGTAAAGAAATGTCGATTATGGAAAATAAATTTTAAGCTTTGCACTATAGGATTAACCCGCGTCATTTTCCATAGATTTTAGTGCTCCCATGAGGCCATGAGCGAGACGCTTCGCTTGATTCCATTAACCTCTTTTTTGATGAACTTTAAAGACATTTTGACCCTACAACTGTTCCAGTTATTGGACAGCCGGAATAGCAAACTACAAAGAACTTTTGAATAAAAATGCGTCATTAGGCCTATTTTTGGGGAGCACAAGCCCCCTTTATATATTCTTAATCCCATCTGGCCAAATTTAGGTTTATTTATAAAACTAATTATATTTTCTTCAAGAAATGGGGATAAATTGAATATATTATTTGAAGCCTATAGATGTTGGAAATGTTGTTAATATACAGTACTTCCTGTGCTTGTTTTTGTGTCGTACGAAAGATGCTGAAAATATACGTTAATATATACGTTAATTGTTAAATATTGTAATTGTTAAATAAATATGATGGACCAGTCTATTTATGAAATTAAATGTTCGCTAACATCCACACAAAACTCCGTCAAATTATTAACACTAACATATATCAATTTAATGACTAAAATGAAATTATATTCTTTATGATTCATCATTCTTCACTCGGTATATTTGAAAATAACTTATTTATCATAAAGTCTACGGAAGATGGACGTCCTGTTCGTCTTTCCATTGATGTGAAAAAATTCATATGAAGGCAGGGTAATTCACGAGCTATGCAAGCATTAGTTGTGCTTCAGGCTTTTTCAATAAGTAAGAATTTTTTTGATACAATATCTTACTATGTTCACAAAAAAATTAAAAGCAAAGAAAAAAAGTCGTCATAATTGTATAGAATACGTAATTGTAACCTCATTTATTATTATTATTATTTCAATTTCGACTGGAGCAACATGATTATGCTTCGTCTTCGGAAGTGTTACCAACAATATATATAAAGAAAGCACTTATGCAAAACCGCTAGATTGAGTTATTTAGGAATTCCAAATTTTAACGACTTTTTCAGAATACTCATAATTTGGTTTGCGATCGTGATTTGTTGAACTTTGTTATATGATGTAAATTAAAATAAGATAATGACAAAACATCATGAAAATCATACAACTATACACTGGCCGTGATTATTTAACGCCATGACAGGTAAAAAAAGTTAACCTTAAAATAACCCAGACGTTAAATCAGCCTTCATAAATTGTCCTAATTAAAGAATTTGTGATTGCACCAAGCAAGGTTTTGCGGTGCCTAAACATTTTCAATCAGTTGTTAGTTTGACATGACACTGTTAGCTGCATTTCTGTATTGCGTTCGGCAGCGACAAGTGGTTGCAATACACGCGGACCGTCACCCGCATCATTAACTTCAGCAATAACTTACCCCTCATGCAAGGCATTTAGTTCGAGCCATGTCCGGGCATCAAGTTCAAGCGATAACTTACCCCTCATGCAAGGCATTTAGTTCGAGCCATGCCCGGGCATCAAGTTCAAGCGATAACTTACCCCGCATGCAAGGCATTTAGTTCAAGTGATGCCTGGGCATCAAGTTCGAGCGATAACTTATCCCTCATGCAAGGCATTTAGTTCAAGTGATGCCTGGGCATCAAGTTCACGCGATGTCTGAGCAACAAGATCGAGTAATGCCTGGGCATCAAGCTCGAATGATGCCTGGGCATCAAGTTCAAGCGATGTTTGAGCATCAAGTTCAAGCGATGTCTAAGCATCAAGATCGAGTGATGCCCGGGCATCAAGCTCGAATGATGCCTAGGCATCAAGTTCAAGCGATGTCTGAGCATCAAGTTCAAGCGATGTCTAAGCATCAAGTTCGAGTGATGCCCGGGCATCAAGCTCGAATGATGCCTGGTCATCAAGTTCAAGCGATGTCTGAGCAACAAGATCGAGTGATGCCTGGGCATCAAACTCGAGTGATGCCTGGGTAAGCTCGAGTAATTCCTGGGTAAGTTCGAGTGATGCCTGTGCATCAAGCTCGAGTGATGCCTGGGCATCAAGCTCGAGTGATGCCTGGGTAAGCTCGAGTGATGCCTGGGTAAGTTCGAGTGATGCCTGGGCATCAAGCTCGAATGATGCCTGGGCATCAAGCTCGAGTGATGCCTGGGTATGCTCGAGTGATGCCTGGGTAAGTTCAAGTGATGCCTGGGCATCAAGCTCGAGTGATGCCTGGGCACCAAGCTCGAGTGATGCCTGGGCATCAAGCTCGAGTGATGCCTCGGTAAGCTCGAGTGATGCCTGGGTATCAAGTTCGAGTGATGCATGGGCACAAAGCTAGAGTGATGCCTGGGCATAAAGCTCGAGTGATGCCTGGCATCAAGCTTGAGTGATGCCTGGCATCAAGCTCGAGTGATGCCTGGCATCAAGCTCGAGTGATGCCTGGCATCAAGCTCGAGTGATGCATGGGTAAGCTCGAGTGATGCCCAGTGTCGGCTTCAGTAGCCAGACCTGGAAGGCTAATAGTTCTAATGGAATATTAACATCGATATAATGTTTAGGACATTGCTATTTTTAGCGCATTTTTTATTTATGGAAAAAATGCCCTATTGCGCTCGTCATGTCCGTCTACCTGTACGTCCGTCTGTCTGTTCGTCCGTCCGTCTGTCCATCCGTCCGTCTTTCTGTACGTCCGTCTGTCTGTCGGTCCGTCTGTCTGTACGTCCGTCCGTCTGTCTGTCCGTAACTTCACGTTTTCGTCGACGAGAAAATGCGCTCTCTGTCACTTATTGCACTGAGTACTGAGTTATATTTTTTACATATTTACGTTGTTTCTATTCGTCATCGCCAGGTGCGCAGTGGAAACTATTGAGCGACGAAGAGAAGCGTCCGTCCGTCTGTCTGTCCCTCCGTCTGTCTGTACGTCCTTCCGTCTGTCCGTACTCAAGTGATGCTTGGGCATCGAGCTCAAGTGATGCCTGGGCATCGAGCTCAAGTGATGCCTGGGCATCGAGCTCAAGTGATGCCTGGGCATCGAGCTCAAGTGATGCTTGGGCATCAAGCTCAAGTGATTCCTTGTGTCGGCTTCAGTAATCAGACATGTAAAGCTAATAGATCTAATGGTATATTAACATCTATTAATATAATGTTTTGGACCATTACTATTTTTTACAGTTGGCAGCCGTTGTGATCATAAGAAAAATTTGCTTTAAAACAAAAATGCACTTTAAAATACCGGTATTTCTAAATTTAATGTATTGTAGTGCTAAAAATATCACTCGAAAATTTTAACTATATGAAGCACTGGACACAATAACCAAATGATGGCTTAAAAGTGAAGAAATAAGTCTGACTTCGGAGCGTTCATTATATAGAGTGAACTCTCGACGATAAAGTACATAAATCTGCCTAAATTAATCCTACAGTATCATAGTAACGAACTGATTTTCCAATAATTATTTGCTGAATTGCCATTATTCGGAACCCTGTATACCGTCGAACGAATATTCTATATCATCTATTCGGGACCTGTCTTACTCACCTATATTAACATTTAATTTTTACTGTGCAATAAATTATGCGGACAACCAATATTTTACAAGAAGTGCAAAATTTTCCATTATTGAATTGCTGGTTCTGAACGATTTTCAAATAATAATATTCATTAGTTCTATTTTTGCTTACAGTGGACCTGTACAAAGCCATATTCATGCGAACTGAAGCGAGTGATGAGAGGCAAGATGGGAGGATTTCTTAAACCTATAAAATGCAAAAAATTTCAAAATATTGTATAGGAGCTTTAATATTTTAACTCAATATCAACGAGAAAATACAAAATGTCAGACTTAAGGCGCAATCAATATTTTGCTTGCGTTACTTTGGACGTACGAAAATGAAACAGCTTCACTGAAATTATTCTAGGAATTATACGTGAAAATAATTTCACAGCTCCGACTATATGAAGTATTCATTATTGATTTAATCTACTTAAATATCACTTCAGACTCAGTAGCGCTCTAATCGAAACTATGGTAAATTGTATATCATGTGCAGGGTTTAGGCGATATTTCTGATCCAATAAATACCGTTGGTCGAAAGATAAATATACGTATAAAGCGAATTTTCAAAAATCAAATCCAGTTGACGGATGCACTCATCAATGAGCTGACAACTTTACGTAAATTTCATCGTCGCAGTGTTATTTCTCGCATTTTCCTGAAATTTCGATCATTTATTTAAATTATGAAGTAACTCTAATAAAACTTTCTCTAATAAAATTCTAAACTGATGTCATTCACTATTGTGGAAAAGGTTAGCCAAGTGATTCAACAAGAGGGGATCATATACGAGAGAAAAACATTATAAAAGATTTAAAAATTTTTACTTCAGACTTTAGGTCTTCGTCCTTTAGATAGTTTAAGTTTGAGGTACGTTGTTGCAGGTTAAGGCAGCTTCACAGCTCTTGACATCTCTTGATATTTCTTAATTTTTCTTCTCATCCTTCACGTTGTCATTGTCTCATTGATGAACTACGTTGTTGCAGGTTAAGGTAGCTTCACAGCTCTTGACATCTCTTGATATTTCTTAATTTTTCTTCTCATCCTTCACGTTGTCATTGATGAACGTCCACACCCTGAGAAGCTGTGAGCGGCGGATCCAAGTGAGAGCGAGTTTGTCGCACACCGGGCACCGATTTCTGAAATGTTCAATTTTAAAACATTACAAAACAAAATTGGAAGTTTCAATATTAAAACAATAGGAATATTGACTCGTTTAAGGATAAAAGGGTAGTTACATAGTATATTAAATGAGTGAAATGTGACATTTTTTTGTGATAGTAAATCTTACGGTTTATCTTGAATTAACAGCTCAAAAAGTATATTTAGATGGTAAACAAAAGTCATTGATATAGAATTCGATGCTTTTTCCCTCAATTCAGAAAACAGTAAGCATGTTGCCCTTACAGAAATCTTATGAATTTTTATATTTAACTAGATTAAAGCAAATAACCGATTTTAAAATATGATTTATCACACACAAGAGAAAAATTACTCGCGTTTGGAAATTATCAGTGGAGATAAATAGAATAAAAGTTGTCTCCTCCAGATCATATGTATCAGTTATACATTCATAATTCTTGATATGTATTTTTTAGAAATTATATACAAGACACAAATAAAGTTTAATTATTTTTGCATGAAACTAATTACAGTGATGGTAGACTTACCCTCTGTTTCTGGTGAAGTTTTTCATAGCACATTCCATGCAGAAAATGTGGGTGCAGCCTGAGAAGTTGGCAACATCGCTCTCATCAACGAGGTTATGTGTGTAACAAGCGTCACATATCAGGTCGGGCGTTTCAGTCTCGGCCAATTCTTTAATCTTTTTATTTCCAATCAATCTTTGGCTGACTTTTTCTTCTAAAGGGGTTAAAATTTCTTCATATTTCGCTTTGATCTGAGCTAAGCTGTCTGGATTCTTGCACGCCGCCCGATACTGATCCGAATCAACTAAAATATTCAATAAAGTACGAAGTTGATCATATTGACCCAGAAGTGCGGGCGTGATTTGTTCACCTTTTCTTATGTTTTTTATCATTGCCACAATGCAGATCACTGCGGTGATGATAACAATAATGTTCTCTTTGCAGACACTAACGTTTAATTCGTACGACTTGTCACCCATACGGCGCAAAATACATTTTAAGTCTTCTATCAAGTCAGAAGCAAGGAACACGGACGGTTGTTTCGTTGCTTTATCTAACGTTTTTTTCAGCCTCAACATGCACACTCTGCTGCCAGCTATCCAAGTGGCGTAAACAGTCTCAGGCCCCTGTAGAATTTAGAAAATAACAATACAGTTAATTAACTTGTACACTGAAATCATGTGATTACTATCGTACGCAAGGTAACTGTACGAAATCAAAGTTACATGGAATAAATAATATATCAGCTCTGTTGATTGACTAAAACACTAATAACATCTAGCAACATGGAGGTATTATTTACATATGCAAAGCAACTTTACGAAATCAGAAAAACACAAAAAACATAATGTTTAAACGAAACCATAGTAACGAAATCTGTAAGCATTTTTAATCTTAATCTAATAAGAAAAGTACATCTCTGACTAAAACTAACATCAAACACAAACAAACACGGTGCGCGAAAAGGCTGATGATTTGAGTGCAATTAATTAATCCAAACGTCATTAAATTTTTAGCTTATATCAGCGTACCGTATTCGCGTTGGCACAATATTAATTTAATTCGGCATGAATTTTTACTTCCGATTTACATTCCTGATCAACTAAGAAATAATAAATATTTAATTTCATCAAGACCCACATAACAATGAAAGATGGAGATAAACATGAATGTCAATTTTGGTTGCAAAATTTTTTGTTTCAGATTATGTTATCGCGCTTAAAAATCATCGGGAACATAGAGGGTTGTAATCAAATTTTTTAGTGAGCATCGTTAGTCATGACTTACCACAGTCATAAGGTCGGAATAGCAGGACAAATTTCCGCCCGTGAGGCGTACGATGCTTTCAGTGATGTCCAGTGCAAGAGTGGATGCCATTGTGGTGGTAATGGACTTAAAACCAAGCTTCGGTCCGGGACTTTACAAGATCTGCACAGGGATAAAGTTGTTTGTAGTCGAACAATCACATGTAAATGAGCAATTTTTACACGGAGACAAATAAAGCTATGCAGTGACATCGTCATGAGGTGCCCCAAGCCTGCACCAGCATCGTCATGCGGTGCCCCAAGCCTGCACCAGCATCGTCATGCGGTGCCCCAAGCCTGCACCAGCATCGTCATGCGGTGCTCCAAGCCTGCACCTGCATCGGCAAGCAAAATCTCCATTTGAAGCATTTTAAAACCTTCATTATACATCATAATGCATAATGCTGATTACAAACGTCGTAAAATTACAATAAAATTTTCCCTATAAGGCATATAAGGAAATTTTCGAATCATACAAAAGTCGAATACGCTAAATAGATGAAAATAACTAAAAAAGTGTTGATATAATTATTCGTTGGCTTCAAAGAAAACTTTTAAGAAAGATATGTAATCAAACTAGCAGGTTTGCCCGGCGTAGTCTGGGCTTGACGATTACGGCAATTTTTGAATCCTGCAATCCCAAATCCCGTCATTCCCGTAATCCATAATCCCGTTTATAAAAATTAAGCTTATATATTGCACTTCAGTTGAAACGAAGAAAACAGACAAATCTCCTCTGAACAAATAGGTTCTCTACAGCTTCAAGTTGATCAATCAGTGTCAGGTGGGATTAAACCAATTTGCAAAATTTATGAGTTAGCGAAAAGAAGAAAAAAACATTCCAATGTCAAGACAAGGCAATCATATTATGTTAATTAAGAGCAGAGATGCACTTTACCTGTCGGACTTTGTGTGTGTTGTTTAGCCTTGCGACAAGAATGTTATATTACTTGGACATCAAAATATATTTATAGAAGGAGATATGGACAGAAATTGTAAAAATTGGAGGGAAAGATTGGAGGAAAAATTGAAAGGTAATAATATGCAAGTTGATACATATTATTTTAATTTAAAAGCCGCTACATAGCTTGTTCAATATTTTTAGACGAGAGCCAAATGGGAGTTTTAGGTTCTGTGAGAAATTTGTCTTTGAAAGATCTGTCTATTAATAGCGAATTTTCATTGTATTATCATGAATGCATTTCGGCATGCTGGAATTATAAAATGGCAAGAATTATCGATCCCAGCGACGCCGGGCTAACCTGCTAGTTTAATATACTTCATAGATATCAATTAAGTCAGATATTAGATATTTAAGATATTAAATCAGACACAGAGAAACGTAAAGCATTTTATGGAACGTTTGATATTATTATATAATGAAATTAAACATAAATAAAGCTAGATTGTTGTGGAGATATCCATATAAAACGAGCACATATTAGTTCATTATAAACTAGTACGTTTTATTACAAAGCAAGATTATTGGACACTGAGCCCTGGTACTATAAAGGCTACTATCCGTTTAAGAGAATCTCAAATAGCTAAATATAGCAGTGCTTTGTTTTCATTTTGATAAATCGCGTGAAAAATGAAATCATAAAGGTCATTGAAATAATTCAATGTATCAAGAGTCTCAGGTCTTCAAGATTTTTATCATGAAGATGGTGAATGAAGGATGCATGTGAATGAAAAATGAGTGTTAATGTTGGCTACGAGTGAAGGCTAGAACCTATTTAAAATTTGGGAATGATTCATAGAAATTCTGAAAAGTGCAATTGTTCTAATATGTACTAATGATCGCATTTAAAAATATATTTATGTTGGAATGATGCGAACTCTAAATTAGAAAAAAAACTTACCTGATTTTGGTGGCTTAGCTTGTTGATTTTTCTTTATATCACTTTTTGTAATTATAAAACGGCACGAATGAACTAGCAAATAAATAGACAGTATCCGATTAACGAAACGATATCAGAGCAGCTGAGAGATGCGACCAGTGTTCACGCTGAAGCAGACTAAACTTTATGATTGTTTGCGGGCCTTTTTATACCCAAATTGGGGGAGGGAAAATAGGGAGGGGGGAGGGTTTTTAGGCCTTCAGAAGAAGGTGTACGAGTTATATAAAATAAGTAAGTTTCATACGGTGGGTAAATTTTCCTCTTATTACGTTTGGTAGAAAGAATACGTAAATGAAGCGAATAGTTTCAATATTCGTTTAGTGGCTAGATGCTCTTCTGAAAATTTTTAGTTAAAAACCTGTGCATGAGGCAGCTCCATATGAAACCATACATATTTCCGAAGTTTATATATGTGGTATTTATTCATATATATTTGCCTGTGATCATACTTTAAACACAACCAATTTAAACACTTATATTCTAAAATTCTACGTTAAATTATGCACAATATGAGGCCACATATAACACTAAAGGTTCGAGTGTGACCAGCCGTGGTTTGCTGCCTTCCAACCTTTCTACACAATAACAATAAATTTAACAGCGATAAGTGATAACTTTGACTAACGTTATCATCAAGTTTGTACGTCACAATATATTGATTATTTAACACAAGAAACCCTGAAAACCCATAAACATTGATAAATTATCTTAGTATGGATTGTTACTGAAATTCTTCATTAATCATTTAGTTTAGTGGTTCCAAAACTTTTGCAGGCTGGCGCCCCCTTGGCTCCCCGAATAATTCCTAGGCCCACACTACAGACACATGGAAACAAGCACCTCTTTTTTGACATTTAGTACGCTGCAAAATGAAAAGAGAAAGGTTAAACACAAATGTGTATTTCACAAATAAAACCCAATTTAGTAAAGCAATATATTTTTAGCAGTTTTAACTGTTAAAGCACCAGAAACCCAGGACGTCTCGGACAAATTTACGGCCAGTCTCGTGGCCGGTCACGCAGCCAGTTTCACGGCCAATCTCCGAATTCAATGATCAAAGAATATCTCCCAAACTAATGAACGCAGCTTGATGAAGTTTGGTACGCGTATTAATTAGGACCTAACGGTGATGTTTAGCTCGTGAAAAACTGTTAAATTTCACTTTTATTTCACCTTCATATGGCGATACGGGCCGAAATTCGCAGTGATCAAAGAATATCTTCCATACTATTGAACAGATTTGAGCGAAATTTTGAATATTCATTCCTAACTACCGAACGGTGATTTTTAGCTAATGAAAATTTTGTTTATTTTCCTACGTTTGCAATTTTTTTCCATTTCACCGTCATTCGTGATTTAAACAACAACACGTACGTGCTTATACTCGCAATGATCAAGATATTTCTCTTAAACTACTGAACAGATTTGATCGAAACGTTGTATATGAATGCCTAACTTCAGCAACGGTGATGTTTAGCTCGTGACAATTTTTTTTATTTTGCTTTCGTTTGCGAGTTATCCGGCTATACGTATCTCTTGGCCAGTGAAAATTTAAAAACCGGCCTCAGAAATGCTGGTCGTATGACTAGGGAACGAAGGCCAAATTGAAAAAATTTTCATGAGCTAAAAGTAATCGTTTGATATTTATAAATGTATATTCAAAAATTCGTTCAAATCTGTTCAGCAGTTTGGAAGAATTTCCTTCATCACTGCAATTTCAGCCCGTATTGCCATATAAGTGATATAACTCATGAATGAAGGCGAAATTCAAAACATTGTCAGAGCTAAACATCATCGTAAGGTCCTAATGAATACGTGTACCAAGTTTCACCAAGCTGCGTTCATTAGTTTGAGAGATATTGCTTGATCATTAAATTTGAAGATTGGCCGTGAGACCGGCCGCGAGACCGGCCGTAAATTTGTCGCAGACGGAAACCCAGGAGAGGATAAAAAAAAACACAGTTCTGGGTTGAAAAACCCATCGCTGGGAGCCGTGCAGGTGCACGTGTTGTGTAGAAATCGGCAAATAAACGTTCAAACTTCTGACTTCGACTTCGGACTGCCACCCTCCTACCGCCCCCTTCTTCTTCACCGCCCCCAGGGGGGCGGTATCGCCCACTCTGGGAACCACTGATTTAGTTCATCCGCCCTACAGCCTGCAGAGGTAACCTCAGCGGCGGTCGAAGTTGTGGGTTTAGCTTGCTAGTCAGTGAATATTTAATTTATATATAATTTTATAGTGAGTTTTTATTGAAGTATAATATATTAT